TTTGTATAAAATTTGTTTGTTCTTTTGTCATCTTCAATAACCAATAGATTAATGTAATATTAATAGATTTTATCTACAATGCACTGAATTTTTCGGCTTAAAGTTATTTGTTCGTTTTTTAAAGCAAACATGTTTTAGGGCATAGTTTTTTCACCATTTAGTCATTGAGATTGATTATCAAAAGATTGCTTAACCAATAGTAGGTTGTAATAATTTAATAACAAAGGTTAGCTTTCTAAAAAAACTAGTAGCGACTATCTTTGCCATTTCTGTTTCCTGGGTAGGGTTAAAAAATTTGAATTGACAGCTCTCTCAGTTTAACAACAACTTGGGTAATGACGGAATATTCCATTTTTAACAAGGGGGCAATTTGCCCCAAAGCGGTCACTTGAGGACTACATATATCAAGATGCATCCAAATAGAAAGAATGTAGTCCCTCTGTATATGTACTTTCACTTTTTGGCCGTTGTACTTTTTGATATTTCAGTTCCCAATGACCTTGACTTTTTGACCTGAAAATGTGTGTGGTAAAGTAGAACTCATTTCAATGTGTCTCCATATATGAAGTTTAATTGTTGTATAGGGCCAATAAGTATTGGAACGAATGGACAATAAACAGTCCTATTCATGTCTATATACTCGTAAATCAAGTACCCCCTTGGTTGGGGGTGAATATTGACTTATGGGGGCATGGTTAACATTTGATTTGTATAAGTTCACAAGGCAATACTACATAACCGATATTTAAGCTTCATGCATTGAAGTATTATACAATAAGACTAAAACATATATTTTTCTATGCAGGTTAATATAAATCATACACTTTCCCCTTGGGGCGTGAATATTTTGACCCAAGGGACATGATTTAGATACATGTACATTTTGTAGTGGTCCAGAAAAAGCAATACCACATGCCAAATAATTAAGCTTTAGGCATTTTAGTATGAGAAAATAAGGCTTAAATGTGTATTTTTTTCTATATAAGTCAAGTTGTCCCATTATCTAGACCTACATATGCAACAGGCTGGAACCATTCGAGCAACTTTGAAATTGGACTACCGCAGGGCCATTTCTGTAAATTTGGTTGATGTGCAGTCATTGGTTTCAAAAAAGGAGATGTTTGTTTAAAAGAAAAAGTTGACGACGTATGATGACAGACAACGGATGAAGGGGGGGTCACAATAAGCACACTATGAGGCAGTTGTGCTCTGGTGAGTAAAAACAGTAGATAAAGGGTTATAATATCGTTAGAAAGCTTTACACAATGAACATTTCCTGTACACAGATTGAAATTATGATGATGAACTAGTGTGCAAAGTTAAAGCCACATGTTAATAGACTTTTGAAAATATATGAGGTAGTACACAAACTTAAAACGAACATTTTAAGTGAAAATATGCATAATTTTGTCAAAATGCTTGATACAGTTACCTTATCCAGTGTACAGGTTGGGGCATGATGATGAATAATGTGCAAAGTTTCAAAGCCAGATGTCAATGGAATCTAAAAATATTTGCATATTCGTAAATTCTAAATAGAAAAAAAGGGAATAATTATGCCAATATGCTTATTATAATTACCTCATCCTGTGTACAAGTTGAAACGTGATAGTGATCAAGTGTGAAAAAAGTTTCAAAGCTATCTGTCAATTGATTTTTTGAAAATATTTTGTGGTAGTATGTACACCTTTAACATAAGTGGTTACGCTGATGCTCGGGGTCTAGGATAGCTCTCATTTTTTTCGAATAGTCGAGCTTGAACATCATTTTGTTTTGCTAGAGCGTTATTGCAAAGGACTTGCAGCTTTAAATTTTCCCATTAACAGCTGCGAGTTTACAGTTTATTGGGGCATTTTGTTTTGAGGAAGTGAGCTGGCTTATTAAAGATATGCATGTCTATTCAGGTGCCTACTTGTACCTGAATAATGCTTAAATGGGACACCAGATGTATTATTTCGCTAGTGAAGCTGGAGTTGTCATATGTCTTTTTTTATTAAAAATTAATATTATCAACTCCAATGGAGACAAAGAAATTCCTGTGGTGGTTTTAAGGAATTTAACAAAAAAGTGACATACAAATGAACAACAGGAAAAAGTAATATCAAACTTTAATCATTAGACTATACCTTAGCATAAATGTATGAAATAAATAACAAATACAAAACAAAAATAACAATTTGATAACAAAAGAATTATGCTATAGGTGGTCTATTAAAAACAGGAATGATTGAGGGCAATAATATAGCTGATCTTTTTGTAAGCTGATTGACACTGATGTTAATTAACCAAACGAAAACTTACTTTTGGAGTCCAGCTCAGACAGGCGAATCATATAAAAAGCTGGGAGCCAAACTTCGTATATATTTGGAGTTTAAAGTTGTTTACATTGTTTTGTTTCCTCAGTAAAATGCTAACGTAACACCGAAGCGAGCCGGCATGATATAATAATATAATACAAATTAACCCATGTTTGGTTTGACGAAGTAGTGAGTGCTTGGAACACAAGATATATATTTTGAACATGGTTTATATGAAGAAAAACAAACATTTAAGGTGACAACGGAGTCAATTATTACTGAAAATACTTAAAATGAGATTCTTTGCTTAGTAGATTTATCAACCTTTTCTGAACACAGTCGTGGTTTAATTTTGGAAGCAGTTAGTCCAAAAAATGTGTTTTTAAACGTTTTAAAACGGTACCTGTACCATTTTTATCTGCTATTCGCGAAACCTGTCAATTATCGATAACGCTCCGCCCCCTGTCGAGGCATCAATGAGGGAAATCGGTAGTTCCATATATCCGTGAATTACCCGTCCATACTGGTCCATACTACTCGTAATTCATGTATCGTACAAATACCGTACATCTTTTATGAATATCGTCTACCTTTTATTAAGCATTTTTATAAAATAAGAAATTGTCGGCCAATGTACGTAACATAATGTATGAAATATAAATAATTAAGCATAGCGGCAAATCGCACGACCACGGGTTGATTTAAAATATAGTTGCTAAGATATCCATAATGTGTGAAAATAATTTGTCTGTCCCGTTAATCTGATAGATATTACATTGAGTTTATGGACTTTTGTACGGATTCATCGGCTTGCTTTACATTCAACCTCGTTTTCTAACAATGTCAAGTAAAACAACAACAAAAACAGACAACATTTTTATGTGAACGCCTATATGACTTATGGTAAGGTGTCCCTGACAAATTTATAAACCATTTTAGATTGTTTAAGGATGATCATTTCTCTATGAATCAATAAAAAAAGATATTAATATATACTATCAGTGAATGCTCTGAATAAATTGTTCGCCAGTAAATCGAACACAGTACTAATAAACCTGGGACAAAGTATGGAATTTATTGTATATCCCAGTAGAAACTGGATATCTATGCCGTGCATAGATAATTTTCATGATAAAAGAAGTCATAAAGGTCAGATCATAATGATCGAGTGATACCTTTTATTTCTATTATAATATGTCAAGCATTTATTTCAATTTGGAGGAAGAAATATATAATATCCCGTTTTTATTTTTACATTTACCATGGACTTTAAAAGACCATCAGAAGCTCAGTTTTTTTGTTATTTTAATTTATATTTTAACGGAATTTCATACACGAATACACAGACAGAGTGACACTGGTATAATATAATAATAATGCTGATGATAATAATAATAAACTTCAAAAGTGAAACAATTAAATACCCCGCTAGCGGTGCGCAAATACGTTCCATTTCCCCCCACCGAGTGCCTCAAATTTTACCGAAAGTCACGTGACATGTGCGACCGACAGTAAATCACTTAAGATTTGAAGAAATTTCTGTTATAAACTGATATTAATCAGCAACTTTTAATTGGTCAGATGTCACTGGGTCATAAAATGTTGTTAGAGTATGTTAGCGCAACTTGTGACCCTCTCTGGTGCGATATTTGTGTATTATCCAGTTATTTAGCGTGAAACGTAGGGGTCCGAGAGAGAACAGCCGATTTATGACACTTCGTTTGATGCGGGTCGGACTAACTTTGAATCGGCATAACTTTTTTAATAATCAAGCAATTAACATGCGGTTTAAAGCACATGAAAGTGAATTTATTTACGGAGGGAACCGTGTCAGGGATTTTTGTTTGCTCAATCAGCGACTTAATTATCTTTAATTACGTAATATGTATGGTGAAAAAAGTCGCATAAAATGTTTGACGTTACGTAATATTTTTTTGAGAAAAGATAGAAAAAATTTGAGACACGGTTCCCCAGATATTATAAGTATGTTTATTTTCCAAAAGTTTGATGACAAAAAAATAAAAAATGACTTTGATATGACGATTTAAAATTTTAGGATTTTTATTAAAAATCAATCATTTACAAAGGCATTTTTTTCAAATATGTTATTTTTTATGTTGATCAACGACATTTAATGCACAAAGATTAAATAAATAACAATTATTACTAAAATAAATTGGTTTAAATGACATTTATGTGAGTACCACGGAAAGTGTCTGTTGTCACCTTAAACTTTGTCGACCTAAGATCTACACTCTTTAAAATGCAAATACCATTTTAAAAACAAAATTTGACATCACAGACAAACTTTGTTCCCAAAGTTCAATTAAATATAACATTATAACTTTGATGAAATACGTGTAATGAAATTATAAATATATTGTATTTCCTTTTCCAATTTTTGTGAAAAGACGGAGTACTCATAAAGTTGTCTTTTTACGAACTTTCAACAATAAATGCATCTAATATTCTTTTATTTCAAATGCAGGTATATATCTTAATATTTTCAAAATATATCATAAAAAAATAGAAAATTCTTTTTTCTTATTTTATATTGTTTTCGAATTTCATGATTAAAATGCCTTCCTTCTGAACATGAAAAATTAATTGTTAATAATTAAACCTTTTCATGCATATCCCATCGAAATTGTTCGACGGTTGGCGAGAACGTTAAAGTGAATGCGAACAAAATAATTGTGAAACCACCCTTTAACATTGGTATAATTCTAAATAGGAAATGACAAGTCTTTATAATCGCAACACTATGTTAACTATACAATAACTGTTCACCTATTCCACCTATGTTGTTTCACTTAACAATATAGAGACCATTTTGGACGAAATTTGTCCCAAAAAATTGTACAAGAAATACAACTCGCTAAGTTTTACATCAACTCTTTTTTTCTGTATTGTATCATTGAAAAAAGAATAGCGTACATACAAGGCTTCAGTCAATTTTGCCTTCCTTATATTTAGTAAGCGATATTGTTTTCATGATTTAAGCTGCAAATGATATTATAACATCTTAATGATATTTCAGCACTTATGAACACATAGCCATATCAATCTCTTGGCCCAAAAAGTCCACTTGTTGTATACTCCAAATAAATAAGGCAATTTTGTCCTTGATATTTAAACGGCTCATAATACATACATATGAGTAATGTAAGAGAACAAACAGCTGCAAAACGATTTAAATGACAATCACCCTTCTACTAGTTGTCCCCATGTGTAACACTTATGTGTTAACATTTATGTCACTGTTGCAAAAGGTTACATACATGAAAAGAACATACATTTCACAAAATCATTGATAATATCCAGTTTGCTACCTTGGTTTTAAATGATCTTGGACTTATTTCAAACTAACTTGAGACTTTCTAAATGAGAAATGGCAGGAATGTTTTATAAATAACAAATGTTGCAATTTATTTGTTGGACACATGGTCATATGTTTCATCAATGTCTTTACCACTTTTATTATATATATTTTCGCTCACAATTTGATTTTTCGTCTCAGTTCCGGCTGTATTGTAAACATTTTCCATATCTTCATTCAGTTTGCCATACATATTGCTACTTTCATCGATTTTAGCACTTTTTTCAGGACCAGTGATGTCGTACGTTTCATCTGCTCCCAACTTGTTATAAATGTTATCGTTTGGATTGCTCATGTTTTTAACAGCAGCTTTAGTGGTATCATATGTTTCATCTAATGTGCATGATTTAGTTAGATTTTCCTTACCAAAACCATATGCCTGGGAATAAGAACTGTCAGCATTTGGTTTGGGCACACTATCGTTCTCTGCCAAATGTAAGGGAATGTTGCGTTGCTATAAACAACCTCATGTTCAGTATTTGGTATTTTTGGTGTGGCCGATCGTCTGCAAAAAAACATCGGGATAAAAGGAATGAGTTGTTTCATTATACAATCCAATCATCATAAATTAAGACGGTATGGTTAATATGTAAATACAATGTTTTTTATTATAAACTAAGTCAATGATAATGCCTGAACTCGTTTTCTGTTAAGCAAATTTATCAATGTTTATCGCTCAAAGTAACTATTATTCTGAAGATAAAATAAAATTTTAATCCATGGCAAATTAAGTGAGCATTAATATGTATACATAACATTTTTATGGATTTAGAAATGAATTAGAATCTATAAAATTGTGTGCTTCACCTCCTCCTGAATATCACAACAACGGTAACAGCTAATATACCAACAGCCACTAAAGTCCCAACTGAGGCACCAACAATGACATAGACTGTAGAATCTCCATCTGAAAACCGTTTAATATAAATCCATTTTTATAGAATAAAATATATGAATAAATTATTAATTATATACATTATACATTTCTATATCTGGATAATTAAAATGTTGTAGGCTCATTGTGATTTAGACTGTATAGTGACGGTAGTGGAGATAAGTGCAAGCCATCGGGCGTGCAAAATAGCACGACTTTTGTCGATAAAGTCGTCAAAGTCGACATTTTCTCACAAATAATGTTACATATTTTTATGTATATGTTTGATAATTAAATATTAATTTTCCAATAATAAAATAGTAACTCTGCTCAGCTTATTGTTAGAATAATTTTCTAGCAATACGATATAAAATGTTTGCAAGCATCTTTAAATTAATTTATAGTGCCATTCTTGGAAAAATCAATAGATCTATAATTTTATTTATGAAAAAGTTTAGAACTTAGATTGTTTTTTTTTTACAAAGACTCATGTTAAAGTTTATAAGACGTAACAATTTATCATATCTAATTTGTCTAACAGGTTTTATGTTTAATTCATAAAAAGTTGATACTACAAGGATCATCATACGAACATCATTTTGTGTTTGAATTATAGAACACTATTTCTAGTTATACATTTTATTCATATTCAACTTGTTAGATATAAACAAATATCAAGGAATCAATAAAAAACAATCTTAAACTTTATAATTTTGATATTTACACGATATATCTGTTCACGATACAATTTCATATTTTTTCTTAGGAAATTGTTGAAACAATCTTAAATTACACATATTTCTAACAAATGTCTTTTTTTTAAGATAAATATGCCAAAGCAACAAACCCTCATTGCCGACATTCTGTTCTCCATACAGTTTCATTGATGTACGGTTGGATGACACCTGTACAGCCAATGAACTACTACTATACATTGATGTGGTAGATGATTGTGATGATGTATCAGGATACATGCGTGTACCTTCAACAATGATGAAAAAAGATAAAAATAAAACAATGAAAACGTACCCATACACAAATATGTTTGTTAGATATTTCAAAAGTAAGATTATATAAAGTTATACCAATACGCATTAAGTCAACAGATTGGTTGTAATTTCAACGCATACAAATGCATTCAGTTGGCTTTATGAAAATATAAAAATTGTCATCATTTACAGAATTATAAAAGCTATCTTGAAATTCGACTGATTAATTCAGAAGTTTTTATGGATTTAACTCAATACAGGATTGGAGCAGTACCTGTAGACGCTTGCAGAAATCATGATCACAAAATAGACAAATATCGTTTTTTTCGCCGATTTTTACATTTTTCATTCATTATCTGACATAAATCGGTGTGAAAAGATGAATTAGACGTTTTAAAGTTCATTCCGTTGGGTCAAAAAGCAAGATTTTGGCATTTTATAGTTCAAGCGCCTTGTCCGGTATATACCGGAATACGGTATTTAGTGTCGTGCTCCAATCCTTTTTTTAGTCACACTCAGTTTTTATATAGATGACTAAATGCTAGATATCGGTAAAATATATTTAAAGCATATTATTTGCATGAAAAACCGGATGAGTCTTGTATATTTGTATATTTGCATGTAATAATAATATTTAGCTTAAATCCAGGAGTGTTATAAACTTAACATGGTAACCGTGTAATTAGAAAAATATCCGATTGAATCATAAGAAAACAAACAATTTGTAAGATTCTCATCCGGTTTCTTATCTTTAAAACAATTAACCCGGTCATTTGGGCATGCACTGTAGCTCATTTATCTGAATAGTGTAGTTTTTTCTTAAAAGTTATCTCCCATTTACTTCGTACAATTGAGAAGTTTACTTTTTCTCGTTGATGTAAATCTGAATGAAGTTTTAGTTGATCCTGTATTGATTGTCTTTCCTTGACCTAAAAATAATATACTAGTAAATGTATATGTTATGGTCCTCCGATATACACACGCTGATACTGGTTCGTTAAAAAGCTTTATACGATGTAATTTCTTCAAAAAAATGCAGATTTATTTTTCTTAAACAATATACCGAATATTGAAGCACTTAAAGTTATCAACTTTTATAGACAAACAATGCCTTTACTACTTTGTAAATGTACACTGTATACATTCTTATTCAGAATTAATAGTCTGTCTTATCAAAGATTAACCACATTATGTTGATTACTTACCTAGTCGGCATTCACCCTTCTACAAATATTCTTAATGTTCATCGTACATTTGTAAACAGAATTATTTTGCGTGTCGTAATTGAAGAGAAACACCCAAACTTATTGACACAGTGTATTAAATGATTTCCATATTTTCCTTTAAAATATGTTATTTGATATATACTTACTTTTGATACCTTCTATATTTCTACCTTTATATATCTCTAGATTTTGTTTTGTTTAAGTCATGATGTAATAGATAAGTTACTACTTGAATTAAAGAAGCATTTGAAAGAGCGTTTGTCAAAAGTATAGAAGCATTTTATCAAGTGATGTGTATAAAGGAATGCCATTGCCGAACGGTTTAATTGATCCAAGTACAATGATAGGACGAAATAGACCGGTGATGTTAAAGTATACATTAATCGAAAGGAATCAGTTGTACAAAGTATAAAACCCTGTAAGTAAGAGGAACGCTAAAAGAAAGAAATACGGGGTCCTTAAAGAATGCCCCAAACAGTAAAATTCACAATATTGCAAGATTTGATCGATTCAATTTTTTGACAACAGTGGCAAGTAAAAACACTCACCCGGGTCGTTGAACACTGCCAATCCTTACTTACCGTCAATACATAAAGCTTTGTATTGAGTGTTGTCAGGTTTAAATTTGAGAACTGCACCAGTTCTTGTCACATAACCAAATCGAGCATTCGGCAGACTGCCATCATATTTTGTGTTGGTTTTTGATCCAATTATCCTATCATATTCTGTTGAAATACAGTATCCAATGTTATTCAGACACAATTTGATTGCTATTGCTCCACATATAAGTTGATAATGATAATCTTAAATGTAAATGTATTATATATACTTAAGATGCAAGAGATTTCTAGTACTTATCTAAGAGATCATGGAACCAAAACAGAGAATTGGACGAAATATTTAAAGTCATGATAATTATTGTGCATGCAAGCATTTAGAAAAAATTAAGATTTGTTTTGACGAACCACAAGGTAATATGTCGTAAAAAATAACATTTGTATTCCGAGATAAAAATTGCTCCTTTGGTTTATGACAAAACTTTTATCGTAGATTTGCAATCCGCTAACCACATACAAGGTATATAGCCATTTGGCAATAACAAATATAACACCGGCCACTGTTATAAAGTAATATAATTATATTGTTATTCATCACCGGAAGACTAAAATTATGATTCTTCTAGTCATTGCTAATGTTTAAATTCTCCAAATACCTTTGTATTCATAAATGACGTCACTGCAAATGATGCTAGTCCATACTGGACTACGAAAGGTCATATTTGTTGCCCGCATCTCATTGTATGTTAGTGAATGTCTTGATCTGTTAAAACAAATTTCTGCGCTTTCCTTCCATCTGTGATTTTCTTCAGGATGAGTCTCAGTCGATACTAAAATTTATAAATACAAAACTACAACACTACTCCAACTACTAAATCAAAGACTTCCCTCAAAACAGAACTTTTAAAGCAAACCTTCAGGTAAATGATTAAGTTCAACCTGCAATTTTACATTTTACTTGAATATAAACATATAAAAGGTTATCTGCCTGTTCAAAATGATAATCTAATGTGTGTGAAAATGTTTTATGTGCTTATTTACATTTTAACTGTGACGTTACTTCATGTATAAATAATGATTACCATTATAACAATAAAGTTTGTAGACCTGCTCGCAAGCGATCCATTTATACAGCTTAGAAAAAGTATTTCCATTTTCTGGCTGAGTTTGGAATGTTAAACACTTTGATTCGTCGGCGTCTTGAGGATGAGTTTTGACCACTGTATACACATAAAAAAAACATTTTTTTATCATATTAAAAATCCATGTAAACGATTCATATACAACATGTATTTGACATTCAATAAACAAGATCAATGAACGCAACCCCACACCACCCGCGGCAAGGAGCCCAGGAAGACTCATAACAAAAACAGGCCAGGGCGCAAACCGACAGAATATCTAAAACCTCATGAAGCAGCCAAGACATAAGACAGGCTTCATCATATATGTAATAATATGTAACGTTGTGCTGTTGTTTTATCGGTTTATCTATATTCACAAATGTTTGACAAAAGTTGTTTAAGAACAAAATTTGATAGAAATGTACTTACATGTGTACACTGAAACACAATAGTTTTTAAAAGAACAAGTCAAAAAACTATGGCATAATGATTTACACATCTCTGATGTTTACATTCTTGGTTACATGTTAAATTCTATAGTCAATTTCAAAATACATCAACACATTAAAAATAACTATAAAACATCTTCAAGTAAGAAAAGTGACATAAGATAGACACACATACGAATTCTAATTATTGACACATTTTATATTTTATAAAACAGTTGTTTGATTGATATTCAGGATAAAAGAATGAAACAATAATGAAAGAAATACATGTAAATCATTCCAAAGTTATGACACAACTTTCAAGTTATATAATTTGAAAATCAGCCTTATGGATATGCTAATAATTGAAACTATCGCATGTCTTCAATGTCTTCTAAATACTAAGTAAGTACAATTTTGATGAATTTTTTTATAAAGACAACTATTTGAAATTACGTACCATCTTTATTTACTCTGTAGATCGACACGCAATTAATGGGAGAAGGGTAAGATACATCTTCATGATAATTTACCTCGTTTTTGCAATAGCACTACAAATATAAAGTCATGTATTTTCTTAATTTTGAAATAGAAGGTCGATCGGCTTTTTTCGGACAGACATTCAATACTGTCACTTACTATCCAAATATCAAAATATACTATTAAAGCAGCTGACAAAATTTACTTGGAAACAAATTTTCCGTAAAGTTAATTATGACGACAGCCATGATACATACGACGCCCGTTTATGAATCCAGAAACAATTTTCCGATAATAATAAAAGAATTTGACAATATTATAAATAAATTTTAATAACTCAAAAGCTGCTTCTACCCAAGGCAATATCTTAAACGAATATCTGAAGAGTACTTAACATCTAATTGTACTTTTTAAACAAAATTTTCGGACTGGTATTTTGCCAGATTCATAGTTACTTGGAACAATTAAACCCATATATAAAAAAGAAATGATCATCCATTAACCCTGGAAAGTGTAGACCTATTACTATTTTTAGCTGTTTAGGTAAAGTTTTACTGCTATCCTTAATGACCGATTGACATACCAATCGACTTGCAGACAGAACTTTTTGATCAAACTGTTTGTATAATTGTGAAACATGTGGCTTTGACAACCTTGACCTAATAGATGCTGTTCATAATAATTTTATTATAAAGATCACTAAATCAACAAAAAAGCACCCCATTATATATACTCTTTAGAGAGTTAGGCCGCAACCCCTTAGAATTAGTAATTAAAACTAGAATTGTAAATTACTGGTGCAAACTGATTGCTCCGCGCCCAAAGGCGCGGAACTATTTGTGTTTACTATTTTTTTTTGTCCATGGGCCCGGATTTGATCAATTAATCCCTTCGATTTACAGCTAAAAATAAATCCGCATTCAAGAACTCCTTTCGATTTCTATATTGGTTTCCCCTTCAGTGATTCGCAACATATCATATTAATAAAAGAGAACCGGAAAGCAGTTCTGCTGTACATGAATTCGAAAGCCATAAATGGCTATAAATGTTCTGATTTTTGACACTTATGTTATAAATGTGTTATTTCCCTTTTTTAGTAGTTTTAGTAGTACATGAAATTACAAGAAAAGCATTGATGCAAAGCATCAACGGGCGACGCCAAAAGAATTTGGTCCAGTTTTTGCACCCACATACTTAACAAAAGATGTGTCCTTTATAGCAGTACCATTACATGTGACCGGGAAGCTAGGCCCAGTTTAAGTTGAAACTTAAACCAAAAATAAAAGACTCTGTCTTGCCAAGATGCAAATACTATTTATAGTCAATTAACACTCTTTAAAGACTCATGCTATAAGAAAGAATTTCTTTAGATTTATTTTACCAGATACAAAGATACCTGAGTCATCAGCATATAATCACAGGCACGAGTATCGGCCATGGGAAGAAAAAAGTATGACCAGATTGATAAAAAAACTGTTTTCATCTTAAAAGTGTCACCCCCCCCCCCCAAAAAAAAAGAGTAAATATTGACCGCCTTTTAAAATATACTATTAACTTAAAGTATATTTTTAAATGGGGGTCATTATTTACATTTTTTTTTGGTTTTTGACACTTTTAAGATGAACACAGGTTTTTTTATCAATCTGGTCATATTTTTTCTTCCCAGGTCTGATACTCGTGCCTGTGCATATAATAAAAGCTTATTGCTCAGGGTTGCAGACATGTCATTGACATATATTAGACATAAAAGAGGACCTAAAATGAACATCAGGGGGACACCATAGGTACTCAGAGCAGTAATAGAATGAGTACCAGCCACATCCACCAGCTGCTGTCTATCAGAGATAAGACTTAAACCATGTAAGAATGTCATTACATATGGCAGATGCTTGAAGTTTCATGAAGAAGAAGTATAAGAACTTCTTCATGTAAAGTACAGTGTGATCAACTGTATCAAATGACCATTGTAGATCTAAAAGTATCATGCAATACTGCCTTTGTCCATTTCAAATTGAATACAATCTGTTAAATGAATCAAACATGTGTCAGTTAAAACCACTTCTAAACCCTGACTGAAACTGCCTGACCATGACTTGAACCCATGAATTTCAGAAAACCAAATGAGCTATCCGGCCGGCTACACAATTTCTCTTTAATAATGAAACAGTTCTAAACCACAACATATCTCCACACTATATTAATTTGTGTCCTTGAATTTCTGATTTTTACAGAGCATAGTTAATTAAACCCATGGTTATATGCAGTCACAGGATGAGAAAAACTTTCAGCTTGACCAGAACTCGAACCTGTGACCCTTAGAATAATGTATCGCGACTCTAGCGATTGAGCTATCTGGCCGCTTACACATTTTCTCCCCTAAATAGTGAACAGCTCTAAACCGAGACAGATACTTTTAGATTTTAAAATTAACAGATAATTAATTCTTAATTAAAAAATAAGAAAAAGAAACCTTACATACTCATAGTCTTAATTAAAATAACAATTTATATATCATTGTATAATTATTTTTACTAAAAAGGGCTTAAACAGTTATTGGTTGTGCCATTATTTATAACAGGTCAATTTGAAAGTGAACATAACTGTGCTAATACATGTACAATATCTATTTTTTTTTACAGTTAAAAAACTAACCTTTTTTCTATGATGAGAAATTTTATGAAGACTGATTTGTATTTTGCATCAAGGGCATCGGGCGAAAACATGAAAATGCAACAAACGAACCACTTTGTGGTAGATTGTATTTTCATGTTTTCATCTGGTGACCGGCTACTTTTGTACTTTGTTAGTTTTCATGTGGCACCAATTTATTCAAGGGCAAGTAACAATCTACTCTATGAAAAGTCTGTTGTTGGGTTGACTCAGGAGACCTGGAGGTTGAGACCGGTGTCCCTCCATTACAAATAGATAAGACAGAAGCTGTCCTTTTCAAACTATGCACCCTTTAATAATAATGACTTACCTGTAACTCTTTAAATTCAGAAATATTGTAAATCTCATCATAATACTAAGATATACACGTATGCACATAACATTAATAATTCCCAGTTTCTATTAAATAAATATGAAATCCTAACATTAACATTAACATTGGTACTAATGGATGGAATTCAAAATCTAGTAGAAAAGAAAACTAGAATGTATAAAATCTATTGTAGATACTATAATTAGCCAGCTAACACTGGGTATAAACATCTATAACCTGTATACTGATCAATACATGTATTATAAATTTTAATGCAAGTTTCATCCATCATAACTGTAAGTCTTTAAATACAGAAATACACATTATATCCATAAACTACGATACACATATGCACATTACATTAATAATTCCCAGGTTGCATTAAAAATAAATGTAACATCCTATTTACATTGGTGTTTGAATGGAATTCACAATCTTGTAGAAAGAAAACTATATTGTACATGTAAACTATAGTATAAAAGAAAAATAAAATCTCAAATAGTCTATATCATATAATAAAGATTGAGTTGTTGTGTGAGTGTCTAAACATTAAATGCGTATCTCTTACAGTAACAAATACTGTCCCTGTTTTAACCTTACATTAGACTTTACTATATAACTAACTGCATATATATCAAGTGTTTAAAATGAGCACCTATATGTATAGCTTTAATATTCTACCTTTCATTTTTACCAAAGGTTATTTTATTAACAATTTATATACAAATACATAGAAAATAATAATTAGTTTCACATATTGATTAGAAGATTCCTCTAGCAGTAGGCACTAACTGAACAAACTAGAAAAATCCTGGTCTAAGGTATATAAAGCCAGTAAATTTTTTTTATTAATATTCACTCATCAGGGTCTCTATGCTTTTGATGACCTTACAACTGGTAAATTTTATACAACAAAAATGGTGAGTCATACCCAAGATAGACAGAAAAGAACAAATAATTTAGTAAAAAGAAATTATTCCCCTTAAAAAAGGAATACCTGAAACCAAAAGAAACCCCAAAAAGAAAAATTTTGAAAGTTTTAGGCTCGTTTTTTTTTAAGCCGCAAAATTTAAAGGTAATATTCATTAAAAAAAAAGTGGCCTGTGAATCAGTAAAATTTCAGAAATCGGTAGCTTTTAACTCCCCATTTTGGTTCCTTTGTAAAAATCATTCTGTGCAATAGAAACGAAATGGTTAAATTCTAT